ATGATTAAATTAGGTTAAATCGAGTAACTCAAATAAACAGGTCTTTATAAAAAAATTGTATATTTATTATGTCGAATCAGATGACTCACTTCAAAAAAATATCACCAACACCTATAAAATTTCAAAATATTTTAATTTCACATGTTTATTCTTTAAATTCAAATTTTAAATATAATCATCACACAAAATAAAATAATATAAAATATAAATATCAATAAATTTTAAATCTTATCTAATTGCAAATAAAAGAAAATTATTCTAAATAAGTTTTGAATAAAATATAATTATATTTTAATTATATATATTTTTAATAAGTTATCAAAACGACGTCGTTTTGTCTAAGAATTTACTGGTTTTAACTGATTTTAATCGTTTTCATTGATTCAATAGTACATACGATCCAACAATTAGATCAAGTCGATAACTTCTCGGATATTCAATTTGACGGTTCCGACCGACCAATTTAATCTGATTTTTAATACAATATAAAAGATCAAACTTCATAAGTTTACAATATGAATAGTAACGGTGAGGATTCTCTCCCGTGAAAAAAAACTGCAGGGTATCCATTATTAATCCTAACTATTCATTTAATATTTAACTAATTTTATAACCTATAATAAACAAAATCAACCATTATGATTTCACAGGAGAAAAGAAAAACTGGAGATGGTTCTTTCCCAGGCTGTAACACCTATTTACCAACCAGGGAGAAGAAGTTGAGGACAGTTGTTGCCTCTCTAAACTGTAGCCGCCACCACGAATCATTCAATTCCATGAAACTCACCCTATCACTTTTTAAATTTCTTTCAATTTTTACTCTATATTATAGACCATTGTATATATATATATATATATAGAAACTATATATTATAAGTAAAAAATACAAGTATATGCTATCCAAAAACGAAAGCATTAAAAAGATTCTGTTTCGTAGAAAACTTGAACAAATAAAAATCTAGTTAAGACAGATTTAGAAATTTAAGGTTGATTTTGTATACACCATACAGAAAGTTACCTGATTTTTTATAAGCAAAACTCCAATAATATATTCTTTCACTATTGAAAGAAAAAGAAGAAAAGATAGTGATATCAAAGTAAAGTTAAGATAATGAGAGTCAAATATGATTAAAAAGATAATGTAGTGGTTTGATTTGATTATGTTCCCACACAAACATTACATAATTGATGGACACATTGAAGGAAGAGAGAGAAAGCTTTTAAAGGGTTGTTGGCAATTAACATAAAGTAGAACCACACAACTGTCCTATGCAGTGGCTTGTGACATTATTTTTTTGCCCATGGAAAAAGGGAGTAACACCACAAAAGAGAGGCTATTATTGCCCTTTCAAAAAGTAAAAAGTGGAGCATGAGGGTGATTTTTTTTTATTTTTATTTTTTTATATTTATGTGAAATACTATCTTATAATTTTGATTATTTCATCCACAATTTTTGATTTAAAAGATGAATTACTACAATAACAAAAAACTATATTTTATGTCGTCACTAAGTTGATAGTCGGTAATTAAATTTATTAGAGCATTTATGTTAGAATGTTTTAGTAATATTTTTTCGGTAAATATGATTCTTTAACTTACCATCATTTAAATGCAAATGAACGTTTTTTTTAATATTTAATTGTTTGATGATTTTTATTTATTTAAAATGTATAAAAACTCAATAGTTAAAATATAAATATATGTAAAACTTGGTGAGACTAGTTTTAAGTTTTTGATAAATTATATAAATATAAAGATATAATTAAATAGATTTGTCGGATTATGATGCCATTAGGCATTGTAATTTTTAATGTTTAATTTTAGTTTTTATTTTTAGTTATTTTCAATTTAAAATTAAATCCAATGGTAATGAATGTAAACTTTTGTTGAAGATGGAGAATCCAAATTCTAAATATAAAATTTTGATTTAGAGATCTAATTTCAATTTATTTTCTATCGATATAAGCCATATCATCTTGAATAATCCACAAAATGTAAATTTTTGTTAAAATTAAAATTAAATATTTAAAAAATATTATAAATTATTAAAATTATATTTTCATGTTACAATATTACTTTGCAATTGTTAACTATAAAAATATAGAAAAGAAAAAATTTAAATTCAATTTGAATATTTTTATTTCTTTATTATTCACACTTAAGATGTGCGAGTTAAACATCAAATAAATTATATTTGAAAAAGAAACTCATAAATATTTAAAAATTATGATTTAATCATTTATATAAATTAAAATAAATAATATAAAAAGTTAAATAAAATTTATCTAAAGAATAATAAATTTTAATTTTTTATTTCAAATTTGTTTAAAATATGAACAATTTGATTTAAATTCAATAAACACGATTCTGCTGACTTTAAGGCATACAATGCTTTTGAGGCCATCTCTCCATTTTTAAAACTCTCTTTCATCAAATAGTATTTTATATTTTAAAAACAACCAAATGCACCATACATTTCACCTTAAAGACAACATATCCATTTCTAAATTCTATGGTGTTGGCTCCTGAATTTGACACTTACTATATTTGGTCTTTTAGACTAAAAAACTGGAATAAATCAAGCCAAGCTGAAGAATGTTTCGACGTGTGAAATAACTTAGAAAAAGATATAAGTTATATTTGAGCCTTAGACCAGAGCTCACTTTCAAGATTTCGACTGAAGAGGATTTATGACCTTCGACTAAGAGAAAATACCCTCCTTCGACACAAAATACGAGAGACATTTGAATTTAAATTATTGGAGGGAAAGACTGTTTCGCTAGCACCTAAAGAGAAGCAACGTGGCTGGAAGCTAGAGGTCGAGGGACATGCAGAGGACACTTGTCTTCATCTTAGCGCAGAAACACCCCTCGACAGTTACATAGTTTTTAAGTATAAATTAGGAAATTTGTGTAGTTTTTTGGGTGTTCAACCTATTGTGCTAGTTACTCAAATATTGTCCAAGTACCCGCTGTGTGAGAAAGGATAAACTGAGAAATGTACGTTGGAAACACCACTTTTCATTAACAAAGTCTTTTTACATTGTTTTGATTTTATTTTACTAAGTTACTTTTCCTGCATCTTTACCTGCATTTCTACATTTCTATTAACTTTCTTACTCTCAAAAACCACAAGTATCTTGTCTTTGGTCGAACATGCGTTCTTCCTGGACTTCTTTTCTTATTTTACATTAACCCAGTATAAAAGTTAGCATATGTTCTGGGATCAATCTGATCGATCCTGCGAGTAACCAGAAGGACTTTCCTTTTGGAGGATCAACGATTATTTACCAAAAACCACGATAAACACATGGCCATCATCACAATGACTACGTAAATACAAGTTTTTGTTAAAAATAAAGAATCTAAATTTCAAATATAAAATTTTGTTTATAGAGATCTAATTTTGTTGTTTTTAATCAAATTATTACCACGTCAGTATGTCTGTCTCGTTTAGATCTGTTATGTAAAAATCCACAAAAAAATAGGATGAGATGAGACATACATAGTTGAGGATGAGAACTTAAAATTTAAGTCTGTTTTGCAAAAAAATGAGTATAAGGCAGAGAAAGTCGCAGGCATTGCAACTTTTAAGGCTAAAAATACAAAATTTTATGTTAATGCTCGTGTCTACTCGTGTCACGTTAGAGTGTAAGGACCTAAATTCTTGACCCGTCCTGCACTAAAGTGTTGGCAAAACAGATATGTCCAACGAGCCGGGCCTAAGTATGACAACAAAACCCGTATTCGTGAGTATCGACCCGAATCCTCTTCGAAGTTGACGAGAAAATCCGCTTTAACTGGATTTGAGTTTGAGTTTGAATTTTTCCCGATCACAAAATATGGGGATGAGTCAGGTAATGGGGACATCTGTACCAACTCCGAACCTGCTCCAGAACCCACCATTTTTATTTCATTATGTACATTTTTTGATAATTTAGAATATTAAACATGTGATCAAAGTTTTGATAATATTTAAAATATTTGAAATTTATGTATGAAATTTTTGAGATTGTTTTATTTTATTATTTATAATTTAATTTAATTTAAAAAAAAATATTTTTATTAAGAAAATTGATTTTATTAAATTTAGGGAGATAAAAACCATCTCCGACTCACCCCGTTACCATATGTAACCAGTTCCATTTTGTCACCTCTACCTTGAATAATCAACAAAATCTAAATTTAAAATTTAATATTCAGAGAATTTTATAAATTTATTAATATTATATTCTCTTACTATTTTATAATTATACAAAAATTTAATGATAGTATACTATCGGTATAAATTAATTTTACAATATTATCTAATAAAATTATATTATTCAATTATATTATATTAATATTTTAAAATAAAAAATGTAACTTGTCCAAAAATATATTTTATGATTGATTGAGTGTATAATTATCTCATTTTCAAATTTGAAAATGGAACGATTAATGATGAATCAAGCTAAAAAAGAAAAATTACATTTAAGCATAAATATTTTTCACGCATGAAACCAAAAAAAACTCAAAAAAGTAAGAAAAAGATAACACATGCTTTCAACCCCACAACATCATGACCATAACATAGATCTAAATTCCTTGCTAAAGTAAAAATCTTCACAACACAAACAAAAACCAGAAAACTAAATAAAAGTTCTTATCTTTACATCTTCCATTACCTTATCAATCTTTGTCTTTGAGTGAACCTCAAACATCTTTCTTCACTCTTCACATTACCCCCCCTTCTCTCATCTCTTTGTTACATCTCTTTCTCCCATCATGTCATTGCAAGTCAAGTTATTTTCTTGGTCCCAAGAGTAAAAATCAGTGCTTTTTCTTTTTACACTTTCTCTTAGAGTAATTCCTCAAAGGAAGTAAACGAACATCTTTTTTTGTTTTTTTTTGTTTTTGTATTGGTTACAGTTGTCTACATTTGTGTTTGTTTGTCTTTTTGTATTTTTTTGTGCTGCTTTTGTTTTTCTACCCTTTGGTTTTTCATTTTCATTCTGAAAAATGAGGAAGAATGGATGGCGGTTACCTTATCATCCTCTGCAGGTGAGTGTAAAGTTTTGATTTTTATGAAGAATTTCATCTTTTTGATTATTGGGTGTTTTGTAATTATGAGATTTTTTTTTTGTTTTGTTTTGTTTTTGAAGGTGGTGGCTATTGCTGTTTTTTTGGCTCTTGGGTTTGCTTTCTATGTGTTCTTTGCTCCTTTTGTTGGGAAGAAGATTTATCAGTATATTGTTACAGGACTCTACACACCTCTGGTAACTCAATTTTCTAGCTTTGTCTTGTTTTTGATACTTAGTTTAAAATGGGTCGGTGGAAGGGTGATGAGATCTGTGATTGTTGCTTTTTGATTCATGGGTTTGTTTGTTTCTAAGCTTTCTGTTCATTCTGGTATTTTTCTTCTTTCTTGTGCTTTTTTTAGATTAGTATGTTGAATTGTATATAGTGTTCAATCTATGGTGCTATGGAACTGTGTCTCTGTAACTATGTAGTACCGACACTTCACATTGAAGCTTTCGCGTGCTCGGTGTCCTAGTGTGACATTACACAAACACCAACATATGTGATTACACTCAATTACAAATTTTTTCTTCAAATTATTACCGGTGTTTGACGTGTGTCTCTGTCAGTGCTTAGTAGCTCTCAACTTCATGAGGGGCCATTTTGTTGCCGATTGTATTTGGTACCTGCACATGAAAAGATATGTTGAGAAGTATCATTTTTCAAATTATTACCGGTGTTTGATGTGTATGTATTATAATGATACACATGTGGCGCCAAAGAAAACACCTCTTAGGTGTGTGGTTGGGCTTAATTCAAATTTATAAAATTGACTTGTAAGGTGGCGGTTGCCTCCACTTATAAACATATGTCTGGACCATATACTTTTCGATGTGAGACTCTTAACAACACCATATGGCTGTTACTCCAACTGTCACTAAATTATTGGCATTTTGTTGACATTTTCAGTATCAGGATTTTAAGAAAAGTATGGAATTATGACTATGCAGAAACATTATTATGATAATATTTGATTATAGAGATCTTAGGTAGGTGATCTGATGTATGTTTCATACTGAATTTTGAACCTTTTCAACCTTATAAACCCCTTTAACTAATAACCATCAGCTATTTTAGATCTTTATGGCTGCTATTGCCACGTGTATTTTGTTTGTTTCAGTGTTGACAAATAGCGGCTGCGATATTTGAACAGATTTCTATTATTCTGCGATACACTACTTACATATTGTTGTCAGATAGTGCCTATAACAATGCTATAGCACGGTAACTTAGTGAAATTTGAATAAACCGCTATTTTCTGCAATCCGCGTTGGACAACACTGGTATATGTTTACATGCATGAAATACATTATCATCATGATTCTTGTAAACTGACAACATGTAACCTCTTTCCAGATCGCTAGTGTCTTTGGACTATACATTTGGTGTGCGGCAGCTGATCCAGCAGATCCAGGGGTTTTTAAGTCCAAAAAGTATCTTAAAATTCCAGACAGCAAAAAGCTTAGCAGGTTCAAGGATTCTAAACAAGGAGGGGAATCAAATTCATCCGTGCACGATGGAAATGCTTCAACAATTGGACCAAAGTCTATGGATAAGGAGGCATTCGGAACCGAAGCAAGTTTTAAAGATGCTGCTATTTCCAAAGAGAAGAAAACTGCATCACCGCCTTCACCATCCTGTTTTCTATGGCTTTTCTCTCCTTGTGCTTATGTATGCAGCCGCTCTAGTTCACATGACGACTCTTCTGATAAACTAGCTAGTGAAGACGGCATGTTCTACTGCAGTTTGTGTGAAGTTGAGGTTCGTATAAGTATTTGAGTTTTGAATTAAAACGCAATTTCCCCAGGATGTTAACGGTTCATTTTGTAGTATGTTTAGGATATGAACATACAATTTTACAATCCTAAATGCTAAACTGAGATATACCATTGTGCATTCCATGATCAATGTTTTGTTAAAAAATTAGGATTATCTTGAAATGATTTTATCTTGGAAAGAGATTAGTGTTTGGAGATTTATTTACGGTGATATGGAATAATGCTGATGCAGGTCTTCAAGTACAGCAAGCACTGTAGAGTTTGTGACAAGTGTGTTGATAGCTTTGATCATCATTGCAGAGTATGATGATCTGATATATCTTTTCTCTACTTATAGGTTGATATATACTAAACTAAATGATTGTTACTTTATTTTGCAGTGGCTTAACAACTGCATTGGGAAAAAGAACTACCGAAATTTTTTCACCCTTATGGTTGCGGCTCTTCTCTTGGTAAGCAAAATTGTCCCCCTATGCCTTACTTAACATTTAGGTGTTCATCCCTCGCAATAACATTGCATAAACTCAACTTTACACTAAAATCAAACCTACATACAACTTCTCTAGATCATTGTGGAGTCGTCAATTCTCAAAATACTATTCCCTCATTCCTTGTCCAATACTTAAACACTCTGTAGCACGACACATCTGAAAAAAGGTGTGTCCATGTTAATGTCAGTGTCCGAAACAAACACAAACACTTGTGATTACGTTTAATTTATTCGTTTTTTCAAATTATTATTGGTGTCGACGTGTCAGTGTATGTGTCGTGTTTCTGGTGCCGTGCTTCATAGCTTAAACATGCTAGGACCAACTTACTACATGCTACTATGCTAGGACCTAAAGAAACCACACAGTAAGCATTTTGAGTTTCCTAGTCAATGTCATTTGATTAACTATTGACAGGTATGTACATGGTTTGTGCACTTTGGGATTGAGATTGCAGCTTATTCTTCAATGGTTGACTGGGATAGTTGTGCTCGTCTGCTGTTTTATGAAGAGGAAGGAATTTTCCGTTGACGTGTCCTCCAAGTTGGGAAGCAGTTTCTCTCTTGTACCTTTTGTTATTGTAGTGGTGAGCATTCTGCTCAGCGTTGGCGCATATCATGTGGTTTTTGTACTAATTTATTGGTTATGCATACTGAATATTCATTCTTTTGCATATTCCTTTGTTTTACAGGCAGTTTGTACCATTTTGGCTATGATTGCTACCTTGCCTCTTGTTCAGCTTTTCTTCTTTCATATTCTTCTCATTAAAAAGGTAAGTCATTGTTCATTACTAGAAACTGTGCTTCTATACTTCTTTTAATTTGTAATTTCCGATAAAACCATTCATACAAGTCTATACGTGTCATTGTTAGTGCCGTGTTTGGTGTCTGTGTCTATTTGGTGTTTCATATGATGGTAGTGCTAAATCTTGTGATTATTGTGGAGTATCTCAGGGAATCAGCACATATGATTACATCATAGCTTTGAGGGAGCAAGATCAGCAAGGAGTTGGAGGTCAGCAGAGTCCTCAAATGTCACCTGTTAGCTCGATTACCGGACTAAGCAGTGCAAGCTCCTTTTCTACTTTCCATCGCGGTCAATGGTGCACACCGCCACGCATGTTTATTGACGATCAGGTAATTTTTTATCGATCCAATCGTGTTTTATTTGTTAATGTTTGCAAGTACTAGATCTTCCTGAGATATTGTATGATGAATAATCGATGTCAAGATATGCTTTAGATGATTAACAGAAAAACATTTATGAAGAATACTGTGATGGTTTGCGTATTGTAGTTTGATGTAGTGCCACAAGATACTGCTTCTGTAAGTTCTCGAGGAAAGAAGTCAATTCGAGAAGAACCGGTTAAGAAAAAGAATCCCGGAGCAGTCAAAATTAGTCCGTGGACACTGGCACGCTTAAATGCAGAAGAGGTTTCAAGGGCTGCCGCAGAAGCAAGAAAAAAGTCGAAAATTCTGCAGCCTGTAGTGAGGCATAACAACGAGCCGTTCAGGCTAGAAGCGGATCATACCTCTGGAAGCAGTGGACGACGAATGGCCCCAAGGAGGCCAGGTAAACGCATTCGCTTACCCGCCGACTTACCTATGGAAGCTTTAACAAAATATTCCGCCGGTAATATTGACAAAAGCTTCAACAGAATGTCTAGTCTAGCACCTCTCCAGCTCGAAGCGCGGACAACTCAAGTCCTGTCAAGCTCAAGCGGCATTGTTGCGTCTTCTCCAGAAAGCAGTTTAGACTCGCCAGATATCCATCCATTTTGCGTGCCTCCGGCGGAAGGCGAATCAACAAGACGGCTTGGAAGTCTTTCAGTCGGTGATTCAGCAACAACAAAAGGGTTTCCATTTTCAAGATCAGCTAGTGATGGATATGATGCTTCTGGCGGGGAAGACAGTGACAGGGTTCCAACAAGGATTGTTGACAGATCAACAACAAATTGGAGTAATCTTCTTTTCAATGCTGATCAAGATGAGAGAGGTTTTGAAACAAAATCATCAACTAGCTTTGTTAATAATAGAAAGTTGTGACCAAATTGATCTATTGTTGGGAATTGTTCATTCTTTGATTTGTGAGTGGAAAGAAGTTACTTCCAACTTAAAGTACTTCAACATTCCTTAACCCCTTCACCTATGTACAAAGTTTTAGGTCACATGAACTGTGAAGATAAGAGGTTGAGCTTCTTAATATGTTGTTTTGTGCACCTTATTAGACCTTATGTTGTGGATGGTTTATGCTGATTTTTTATATTATTAATGAAAAACACAGGAAATTTCGACACTTCAGCCATCAGATGGTTTGGTGTACGAATGAGTACGGGGGAAATATACATTTGCAAATTTGACAGTTTTTTTTCTTCCAGTTTGAGCTGGAAGTTAATCACAACACTCTAGGAATATAATGAAACATGAGTTTTTTTGATAATTATCAATGGGGTGTTATATTTCAAAGACATGTTTTTCACATCTGATATTTCAGAATCACAACATTGCTAAATAATATTTCAAACAAGCATATAAATGCAGCCCAAGATCTATATATCCACTTTAAAGAATGAACAAGCAACAAGTTTAACATAACGCACATTAATAATCATTTTCAGAAAGATTATGATGAACAAAAGGAATATATTCAAGAGAATAGAGAATGACGGCTATAAAAGCTGTAAGAGGAATAACAATGTTGTATTTATGATATTTACAACTAGTCTATTTATACACAAAAATGAATGTCACATAGGCTATAATAGAATAGATTTGATAACTAAGTTATCAAAACCAATTAGAAATACTAAAATACCCTTTAATACCATTCCTTAATTTAGAATTTCTAATTAAAACTAACTACACCAATTTCATCTCTTAAGCGAAGAAATTGATTCGTCTTGATTGCCTTTGTCATAATATTTGCCAGCTGTTTCTGGGTGCTACAGTGCACAACTTCTAGTACTCCGTTCTGAACTTGACTTCTGAGAAAATGATACTTTGTCTCAATATGTTTGCTTCTCCCATGTAGTATTGGGTTCTTGGCAAGATTGATTGCAGACTTGTTATCAATCATCGGCTTCAGAGGCTTATCTACGTTGATCTTCAGATCCTGCAATAAATTCAGAACCCACACAACTTGACAAACAGCTACAACATATGCAATGTACTCAGCTTCACACGTTGATAGAGCAACAATAGATTACTTCTTGGAACACCAAGAAATATGACCTGCCAGAAACTTAAACAAGTATCCAGAAGTACTTCTTTTATCAACTCTACCTCCACACAAATCAGAATCAGAGTAACTCATCAACTCTGAATCTGTCTTTCTTCCTGAAGAGAATAATATTCCAAACTTCAGAGTTCCCTTGATATACCTCAGAATCCTGACAGCAGCTTGGTAATGGGACCACTTAGGTTTACTCATGAACCTACTAACCAATCCAACTGCATAACAAATATCAGGTCTGGTATTACACGAATACCTTAGAGAACCAAGTGATTGTTTGAAGGTTGTAGCATCCACATCTTTACCATCAGAGCCAGAGTATAATTTATGATTGGTTTCTGATGGTGTGACAACAACTTTACAATTCTGTAGCTTAAATCTCTTCAGAAGCTCAAGTTCATACTTCAGCTGATGCAAAATGATATCTTTATCTGAGTACATAATCTCCACCCCTAGAAAATATACCATATTTCCCAGATCAGTCATCTCAAACTCATTCATCAGCACCTCCTTGAACTTTATTATACTTTCTGGATAGCTTCCCGTTAGCAATATATCATCAACATAAAGACAATACCAGAATCATATTGTCTCCAGAATACTGCACATAAACTCCATATTCTATCTCACACTTCTGAAACCTTTGCTTCTTAAAAAATGAATTAATCTTCAAATTCCAAGCTCTGGGGGCTTGCTTCAATCCATACAGAGCTTTATGTAACTTGTACACCATCCATTCCTGATTCTTTTTCACAAATTCAGGAGGTTGGATTGTTCAGAAATACAGACTTCACATTTAGATACATCAGAGGCCAATTTTTATTTGCTGCTAAAACAATCACCAATCTGATTTTTTCATGTCTAGCTACAGGCGCAAACACCTCAAAGTAATCTAGCCCAAGTTTTTGAAGAAAACCTTTAGCCACTAGCCTTGCTTTGTGCTTGCCAATTGATCCATATGGCTTATATTTGACCTTGAAAACCCATCTAACGCTGGCGAATTTCTTCTTATCTAGAAGCTTAGTCATCTTCCAAGTCATGTTTCTTTCTATAGCCTCAAGTTCTTCTTTCATGGCATTCAACCATACTTTCTTCTTGAGATCTTCTTCAATACTCACGGGTTCAGAATCTACTAACATGGCACACTGGACAATTTCTCCTTCTGAATCTAATTCAGTTTCTTACAACATGTCAAACTCTTCAAATTATCTTGATATTTGTCTGATTCTTTGTGGCCTATGAACTTTTTCAGAAACTCATTCTGATTCTAGAACAGTATTAGATATTAGACCATTTTCAGAAGTTGGATCGCCTTCAGAACCTCTACCTTATGAAGTTCCACCTTTAGAATCTTGACCTTTATCAGAGGCTTGACTACCTTCAAAAGCTCCTCCTTTAGAAGGTCCACCATAAACATGATCATCTTCAAAATCTTGTTCTCCATAGCCTACGTCTTCAGAGTTTTCCCTTCCAGAAGCATGACCACCACCAGATTCTGGATCATCATCAAAATCTGGATCAGAATCAGATTCACCATCTGACTCATCTTCAGAGTTTCCAGAATCATCATCTGATTCTAGAACTTCTTTAGAACTTTCAAGTTTTGACTCATCTTCAGAAATAGATTGAGACTTTCCCCAATCCCATACTTCTGATTCTTTTACAATGACGTCTCTACTGACTTCAACTTTATTAGTTTCTGAATAATAAAGCTTGTATATACCTGTACTGTGGTACCCCACCAGAATCATTGAAGGTGTGAAAAGCAGAAGAAAGGGGGGATTTGAATTGGATTTTAAATCAAAAAACTTTTCTATAAAAATATTATTCCCTTTTAAGTTAAAATACTTTTTTCTTCACTCTTGATAATAATAATAAGTAAGAACAATAAGTAAAGAGCAAGGTATGTTTATATTAGTTCACTTGAATATTATCAAGCTAGTCTAGTCTACCCGCCAAGGTGATTTCGCCTCACTCAATCGAGGACTTAATTCACTATAACCAAACTGATTACAATTTGCACAAGCTACGCGCAAGTGACTAATAACCTATAAGACACACAAGTCTAGACTTCTTAAACTAAGAATCACTTAGAAAACTCCATCGTTGCACATTTGAAGATTCCAACACCCAACTTGAAATCCACTCATGCGTTTTCCTCTTTTATCTTTCAAACACCTCGGGTACATCATATAAAAGCTGTCCAAACACCTGAACAACTTCTGTAATCACTCTTTCATCATCCACCATTTTCAAAATCCAACTTTGCAACTTGACTTGAGTAGACTGATCCAGACACTCTCAAGGAAAAGTAAGAGTTGCAACATACTCACCAAGGTCCCAGAGAGCTAAAACAATCATCATCTCACCTCTGGAAGTCGTGTAGAGGGCATTCAAATTTCACTTCAAGAGGTAAGTTTCTCCAACTTTGATATCCTTATACACGCATCATTTACTTTCAATTTCAAAATATAAAATGTAGATATGATTGCCCTGAAACTAACAACGTCCTTAGTTTTCATTTATGTTGAATATGTGATGAGAATTTTAGAATTGAAGTTTATGAAATATTAGGTTTCAGTTTGGTACCAAGCAAAATTCGCTTAAGCCTTTAACTTATAGCTTTCTAAAGTTACATGGTTGAATTCGTGGTAAAAAATCAAGCAAGTTTGATATTTACATCTTTCAATTTGGTTGAGAAATGAAGCTTTTACAAAATTTGAAAATGTTGTTGTTGTTAATGTCAAACGCGCGCGAGGAAGAAGATGAAGTTCAAAATTTGAAAACAAGTTTATAATATATTTACTGGGGGGAGTCTCATAATCAGATGAAACAACCACCCCAGTGGTAAAACAAGTGCGCTATGACTATAGGGACCTGGATTCGTGTCCCAGCGGTACCTTTTTATTTTTCACATTTTGTTTCCTTCAGATCCAGCGCAGGCAAGCCATATACGCGCACCATGCATCCTCATGTTACAACCTTCAGATCTCAATACATCCAGATCCAGCGCTCCATCCGTGTCCCCCCACAGTGCACCCCATTGAGCTGCCCACATTGAATCTCAAACAGGCGCCTGGGCCTCCATGATTTGGGCCTTTCATTTTTGCTTTCTAACACCCCCCATTTTTCTTTTACAGCGCCAGACCCATTTAAATTTCTTTTTGTTTTAAATTATTTGTTTTCTTTTAATATTTTTTCATTTAAATCAGAAAATCATAAAAAAATATAAACAATTAGACTTAGGTTTTTTAATTAATTAATTCAATTTTTGATAAATAAAAATTAATTTAATTTAATCACTTAGATTTTATTAGAATTAGGTTTTATACTTCATATATTTTTCTAAACAAAACATCAAAATTATTTTCTAACAATTAATTTCTTTTTTAAAATTAATTTAGACTTTTTTTAATTAAATTAATTGGCCTTTTTTATTTGTTATTAAATTTAATTTAGTTTCTTTAGTTTTTTACCAAACTTTTGTTAATGAAAAATAATTAGGTTAATCATCAAACTTTTTCCATAAAAAAAACAAAAAAAAACAAATTTTTTCTCTTTTCTCCATTTTACAAATCTTCGCGTACTTTAGTTCCCAATTATTGTAACTGCTCAATGGTATGTAATAGCTTCAATTAGGGTTTACTGCTTTTCATCCCCATTCGTAAATTTGTACCCCCATTCCCGAAGCGTTATAATAGCGTAGGACATTTAATTTCCACAATTTACTGCTTTCCTTATCCGTGTTAGTAATTAGGGTTTTTATGGCAAGACCTAAAACAAAACATTAGAAACCCTAATCTCAAGATAAATA